CTGGTAGGACGTAGGTATAGAATATTATAATACACAAAGTTAGGTAAAATTTTGTTTCAACGATTATTTGTTTCTGAGTTCTACTAAAACAAAATAGATTTTATCATGAACTAGTTCTGAGTAAAAATTCCTATTTTTCCTAATTTTTTTTAAGGTCATCATTGCAAAAAAAAATACATATAAATCATATAATGGATCTGCTCAGAGTCTAATAATATGTAAATAAGTACATTGTACACTCTTGTCAATAAACATAATTATATATATTATGAATATTAAATTGAATCTCAGTATAGACTTAACGGGTGACAGGTAAGATATCTAAGGCCAGTTAAATCATGATACCTATAGCCGTTGCCTCAATAGCAACTGTGTCATATGATAATGGGTAATATACTAATATCGCGGTTTTGACCAAAACCGGGAATAATTATTTTGTAAAAATCATTGAAACAGTTGGTGTTTAATTACACTAAGGATGATGTATAAACAAATTCGGGCAAACTATAACAGCGCAACCGTGTGAATGGAAAGATTTAAATTAGCCATTGCTCATTCTTATACGATAAAATAAGTAATTATAAATGTAACTAAAATAAGCATTCACTGTGTAGAAATTTAACTTAAAACACTGTCAATTAGAGTATGACCAGTTGTTTTTTTGTCAAACTACGCAAATCTGATTTTAAGTCTGTAATAGTTTACTAGAATATATGACCTAATTATACAGATTTACATATTATAAATAGACACATATATTTTTATTTTATTTAAAGTTTAAAGATAAAAAAATATTCAAGGTGAAGTAATTACGCTTACAAGGACTTTGGCAAGGGACATGAACAAAAAATTATACCAGATATAATTTTGATCATTCAAAGTCATTTTTAAGTAACTCACAGATGCCAAATAATAAAATCCAACATTAAGTTTATTGTCTATTACCCCAGTTACAAAACATTTCTCTACAAAATTAAGATGATATGCCATTTATTGCTAAATTAACAAAAACCATTTACAGTTGAAAATGTACTCAGAATTAAGAACAACATAATTTCTATAGTAAGTATCCATTCAAATCAATCATATTAAAAATATTTGTAGAAAAAAATCTAAAATAAATAGGTATAAGTACTCAGATTCAATTTGAAATCGCCACCATAAATTATTATTTAATGCAGACTATGCGAATGTCATTAAAATACATAATGTATATTTATTTGAAAATTCACAAGATAACAGTAAAAACCAAAAGAAATATAGGTATAAAAAAAATGTCAAAAATTAAAACCTGTATAGTTTCTATAAGTAGCTTAACATTAGTCAAACAATTTTTAAAATGTCATTGATTATAGCAAATTAAAATTTAATATATGACATTTTCACTGAATTCATAAATTAATTACACCATGATACACTATAAATTGTTAAAAATATATTTTCTTAAATATTTTGACTCATGGATGAGCTACTTATTGAAACCAAAAACCCAACATTTTCGATAGATCAAAAAGCTTGAAAATATAAAACAAGGTTCATCATAAGTTGTTGCAAGTGGAAATTCAAAAAAAAGTTGATCGTAAGTCCATAATATTTTTTTATAAGCGCCTAAAGTTAGTATTTTACAGTCACAAAAATTTGCAAATTATTTTGAGTTCGATATTATTAAAAATTTTCTTTTTATATCTTAGATATAAGATTTGAAAATTTAACACAAGATTCCTAAAAAGTTTGTCAACCTTTATCAAAAAAAAATTATTATGAGCATTTGAAATTCAAATTGTAACAACATTGGATATAAACCAATGGTCTCATGAAACAATTTTCTGATTTTGTTGTAATTTAAAAATGAATAACTATAGATATTTGAAATGTACAACACAATGTACAATGTAAATATTTTGACTCATTTTGAGCTGTTTACGGACATTTTCAATTTTCAATTTTTTAGTTTATTTTTATATAAATGTCAATAAAATATTATTTGTTGGGTCAAAAAGCTTGAAAATTTAATACAAGACCCCTGATTTATTGTTACAATAGCGGTTGAAAAATATAAAATACATAATCACAATTTTTTTATAAGCATTTAAAGTTCAAATTTTTACAATATGTATCAAAATATTTTGTACCTATATAGTTAAACATTTATAAAATGTTCAACTTTTATGGCCAAGGATTAATAATTTAAATAGAGTTCCAAGAAAGTAGTTAATTCTGTAGCTAAAAATCTAAAAATATATAAACACAGTTTTTTTTATAGTTGGTATTTTAAGTTCAAATTTGGACGAAATTACATATTAAATAAATAAGAATAACAATTTTAGTTATTTTCTTGTAATTTAAAAGATTTATTTATGGGTACTTGAAACTATTATATACAGTATGTCCCAAAAGTCCCGTATCACCCTTAATATCTCCATGTAAAATCACTATATTTAAACGCGGTTTTTTTTACAGTACTAAGTATGAAAATTCTGATTGAATGGCATAAAATTCATTTATTTTTTTCTTTAAATTCAAAAATTTTCAAAAAAATTTCTTACGCATTTAAGAATTTAAAATTTTTAAGATAGCCATTTTGTTGAGCATATATTTTAAAACAGTTCAAAAAAAAAAAATACTAAAATTAAATAAAAATTGACCAAGTTAGAGCAAGTTATGTTTTTGAATAATTGTAGTAAAAAAATAAATTATTGTTTCACATTTCAATAATGAAATATCTAATTTCAGCACACGACCATACTTTTACATTCCTAATTTATTTTTTTACTACAATTATTCAAAAACATAACTTGCTCAACTTGGTCAATTTTTATTTAATTTTAGTATTTTTTTTTTTTTGAACTGTTTTAAAAAATATGCTCAACAAAATGGCTATCTTAAAAATTTTAAATTCTTAAATGCGTAAAAAAATTTTTTGAACATTTTTGAATTTAAAGAAAAAAATAAATGAATTTTATGCCATTCAATCAGAATTTTCATACTTAGTACTGTAAAAAAAAACCGCGTTTAAATATAGTGATTTTACATAGAGATATTAAGGGTGATACGGGACTTTTGGGACATACTGTATACAAATGATATTAATTATGGTAACTCACCAGCTACCGTATAAATAATCACAATATAAATATAACATAAAATATAATATATCCTAGGCTCATAAACCGTCTATCTTCAGAATTGGTTTTCATAAATTTAATACCATCCATTAGTACTAATCCACTTGTAATCTACTGTGCAGCAGAGCGTAACCTACTTTCACTCTTTTTATAATTTACCAATTACTTACCATACAAAATTTTAAAAACACCAATGCATTTTATTTTTTATATATAATTTATATTTTATAATACCTACCTACCTACCTATGATTTTTATACAATGCCATACTGAGATTTATACTATACATTTATACTGAGAATTTTTACATGATTCTGACCTCTCCAAAGTACCAACTAGATTCAATTTCCTACAAGAAAGTTAAAATTAAAGAAGTCTTAATGCTTCAAAAGGATATGACGAATAAAAAAAATTTAGATACATAATATACAACTTTATTTGTATATTGTAAAAACCAATACATTCATCGCTAAGGATTTAAATTAGTTGGTTATTAATTAATATTATGATTCTAAATGAAATTTAATGAGAAAATGAATGGGGAACAAATTAATTTTAACAAGACCCAAGGCACCAAAAAAAAAAAACAATAACATAAAATTGTTCAAAAATCCAAAAAGCCTAAATTTTGTTTATTTCAAAATACACGCCTTAGTTTTAGTGGTTATTACCTCTAGTGAATAACTACTTATAACTTATAACCAGGGCTAGGATTTATATACAACAGCATGTTTTTTTTGCAACTTCTGATTATTGATTTTATCAGTAATGTCTAAGAATCACCTCATGATGAGATAAATGGTGGTATTTTTATTTGACATGTTTTTGCATATTTTGGATGAAATGCATATTATTCCATATATTGAATAAAATGAATATTATTACATATTTTGATTATAAGAATTCAAAAAATGCATGTTATACAGTATATTTCATAAAACTTGGTTTTTTTTGTCAAACATAAATTTTATTTTTATAAATACAATCCTATGGTACAATAGGTATGCGATAAAAGATTGAATAGTTTGACATTCATTTTTGAAAATTTGAAAAAATATGTGGTCGTAGCATGCAACACACATAGTGAATGTGAATTATAAATTTTATTTCTAAATTATTTTATTTTATTTAGACAAACAATTATAAAAATTATATTATATTAAGATAAACAGCCAACCTCTGATGTATTTCAACAAATAAATATTTTTTTTGCAACTAAATATTTTTGTGTTTATCTTATAAAAGTTTAAATGCATATTTTTGCATATGTTGTTAAATAAAATGCATATTTTACCATTTTTTATTGAATACAAATTCTAGCCCTGCTTATAACCATTCAAAATCCAAGTATTAAAGTTATTATTCATTATTATTATTAGTTATTTATAATTTTGTTAATTTTATGGAATTTATAAAAGTAATAATGACATAAACCAATTGTAAACAATATTTAATTGCTTGTTGAAAAATAAACCAATATTTTATCATTAATTTTGATTAGGTATTAGGTATATTATTTTGTATTATTATTTATTTTTTCAACAATACGAGCTAAATATAATAAAAAGTATCATTTCAAAAAAACTTTCTTTTTACATAAATAATTTAACAAGTTTTATATATTTTGAATACTAAATTAAATGATTCATTGCAAACATTTGAAAGTTTTAATTTTATTAAATACTGAAAGGTGTTTATGATATTATGATTTTATTGCCAAAATTCACATTAATGTGAGAATAATATAATCAATAATAAACTTAATGGTTTTTTGAACTATACATTTAGTGTAAACACACAGTGCATTATTTTATACACGAAGATTATACCATACAAATAAGAAAGAAATACAAAGTTTTAACACAAATTCTTACTTTAAAATCTGATAGCGAAGCCATTAAATCATCTAATTCTCGAGTAGCCGATGAAGCAGTTGGACAGACAGTACGAGTAGTTGTGGTAGTGGTTTCTTCCATCATCATCTTTGAAATCAATTGTCCATTGTTACTAAAGAAATAACATTTAAATGAAATTAATAAAAATAATTAAAATAAAAAATAAATAAAATAAAAATTTTTTTATACACTAAAATACAATATAATATATATTTATGTGTAAATAAAATGTATGCCACGATGGTGTTTTTTGGAATTTTTAACAGTATACTTAAAATAAACGCGATCAAGATGTTATTCAAACTAACCAATTAGGTAGTTAGAAAAATTAAAAATGAAGTAGCTGCTGATCTAACAAAGTTGGCTATAAATTATGCAGGTGAGCCATTTAACAAAAGAAAAAACTAGGATTGACAAAAACTATAGAAAGAAGAATGAAAGAACTATTTACAAGAATCCAAAATATTATGAAATAAATGTTGAAGAAAACTCATTACATCAGAAAACGCTGTAATGACTAGTTAATATTATAATCACACTACATTTTAATGTATATTTAATTATTATGATTATTATTATTATATTTTAAATTTTTAGCTGACTAGGTAATATAAACACTAAAACACATAAAAGTACATGCATGCATTTTTTGATATTTATAATATAGGGTAAAATCAAATACTTATATTTAGTCAATCCCCAATATAATGCTACTGGGGATTTTTTTCCTAGTGCGGGGATTTTTTTATCGAAAACCAGTTTTGCAGAAAAATGTCCATTTATCCTTAATTTTTATTTTGTTTTAAAAACGAAGATGACAGACACAAAAAAAAAATAAAACAAATAAAATAAAACACACACACATTATTGTAAAATCAATACATTCATTGCTCCGCTCACAATCTAAAAGTATCTAAATAATATATAAAGATTAAAGACACTTAAAAATATAAATTGTATAAAAAATAAAAGTTTTAAAAATAAATGCAACTAGATATTATTGTTACTTATTGTATAATGGTGTAGATGATGATTCAATTTTAAAAATGTGTGGTGAGGATTAACATTCAATTTTAAATATTAATACTATGAGGTAAGTTTATAATAAATGAGACATAAGTAAAGTAAAAATTATTTGTTTTGATCAGTTATTGATATTTTATTTACAACTTTAAGTTGTTATGAACTTGTGTGCATGCATTTATATTATAATATTGTTTAGTATATACTATATATTATGTCCATTACAATTTGAATAGTAAAATTGTAATGCAAAAAATTAAAATTAAATTTTCATTTAAAAAAAAGAAAATAGTTTCCTGGTTATGTTTAAATTAATTTACTACTATTATTGTAAACTAACTCAAAGTAAATATAAATTAATACATTACTTTACCTTTTTGAAGAAAGTGATGTGTCCAACTCATCTAAAAGAGAATCCACTGATGGGCGTGTTGGAATATTTACTGTTTTTGTTGGAATAGAATAAGAATCTCCATTAACTACTAAATCAATTTAAAATTAAAATATTTATTGAACATAATAACTTAGTTTACATAAAAATAAATCAAATATTTAAATTTATACCTAAAATAAACAAA